ATTTGATAGATAGGGCTTGTAGTGAATTGGTGAATTGTTTGAGATCATGTGTATGGCTTAACATAAGCCTTTCATGAACTCCACACTTTTCTGTGTTCAGCTTACTTTTTGGAGTTATGAACTGACAACCTTCTCTCTTTCTGCATATGTTCTTAATGCACTGTCTTTGGTTACTGTGACAAGCATGCACAACACTGAGAGCTGTTCTTAAAATCAGTTCCACTTACATCAGAGATGCAGTTTTATGGCATCCCTGTGTCTGCCAGGCAGAGCTGATCCTTCTACCTTGGTTTCCTGAATGTGGGAATACAGGGGTGTGTACTCATCCCCAGCTCTCTTCTATACTATCAAGAGCACAGATTGTTATAAATCACAGTGATTACTATAGATTTGTATTTTAAAATGGGAGCTGTAAATCAAGGTTGCAATATTTTTTTAAGCATTTGCTCATATATTATTGAACTAATTAGCTTGCTATTTGTAAGCCCCTCAAGGCACACAAGTGGCTAGGCCCATTTCCTGAAGGCCTTCAACTACCAGGTTCCACCCACAGAACACTCTTAACTGCTGACCCAGCTCCCCAACCTACAGAATAAAAAAGCCCAATCTCTGGACGTGAAATCTCACCAATCCCCATCCTGGAAAGCTTCACTCCAAAAACCCTGTCTTTTGCTCAGTTCTCTGCTGTTTCTCATCCAAGCAGCCACCCTCCTGTTTTTTCCCCTCCCAATAAATCTTTTGTGTGAGGTTTATTGTGTGGTGTAACTTTGTGGTATTCCTTGGCTACCAACTGCCAGGATATCTTTCCATCCAAGTTGTAACATTTACACTACTACTACTATGGTAAATTGCCTGTGATAATCAAATTAGTTAAAGGAAAAGGTTTACTTATTAGTTCATAGTTTCACAGGCCCTGTTACTTTGGCACAAGACCATCCTGGTAGAAGTGTTATGTAGGAGATGGCTTGCTACCTCATGGTAACATGAAAGCAAGGGAAAGAGTGGAGGAGGTAAAAGACATGGAACAACAGCTTAGCAGAGCAGCTAGCCAATAGTTATTTCTTCAAGTACCAGGCTTTGGTAACTCACAGATCATGCTTATGGTTGGACATCATGGTGTTTTAAAATAAGAGGAGATTAATTCAATAAATGGCTTAAGAAATTCCTGAGACAAGTCTGCAGATGGAAGGGAATAGCTAACTCCCTTCCTGACATTTTTTAGTTTCCCATTGTTCATGAATTGCCTAAGCATAAAACCATTTGCAGTGTGTGATCTTTGGGATTGAAATGCATTCTAAGGATGAAAAAATTACCTAGCTGGGAATCTCTGGGCTCAATTTTTTTGTTCATTTGTGGTTTCAGTGACTTATGTTGCAATTAGGCCCATGGCAAGGCAGAAATATGGTGATGAAAGAGAGGCTGGGACAGACATGCTGTTCCCCCACCAGGCCCACCTCTGAACAGCCAATTTGTATATGAACTTCTGAATGACTAATCCACTAATGAACTCAGTGCCTTCATGGTCCACTCACCTCCCAAGTCCATCAACTGGCAGCCTTGCACACACCGTCCTTTGTGGGACATTAACAATCTCCTTCAGTAAATCAGTAAAAATGTGCTATGTGCTAGGCTTGTTTATCCTGTGTTTCTATGGTAGAATGAATGAAGATCTTCCTGTCTCAGAATTTGATATCTGGTGAGGAGCACTGTGTTAAGGCAATTTCCCATGAAGGAAATGTAAGAGCAACCAAACCATATTAAGGTAAGTAAATATTAATAGATTCTATGCATGATTTGAATGTGAAGTCCTGAGTGGGTAGAGGTGTTTGGAGCCTTTCAGAGACAGAGCCTCTTCGGGAGGAAGTGGGTCACTGGGCGTGGTGAGCCAAGAGCTTTGAGAGCATGGCCTGCTTCCTCCTAGTCACTATTTTCAGACTGCAGATGCAATGTGAAGAGCCACTCCTTTAGCCATGCCTCTCCTGGCACAATGGAATTTATCCTCACAAACTATGAGCCAAAACAGCCCTTTGTTTTCCTTAAGTTCATTCTTGTCAGTTCTTTGCTCGCAGCTATGAGAAAGGTAACAACAACAACAAACCTGGAAAAGCTGGGCAGTGATAGTACATGCCTTTAATCCCAGCACTCAGAGGCAGAGGCAGGTGGATCTCTGCACATTCAGGGCCAGCCTTATATACAGCGAGTTCCAGGACAGTCAAAACTACACATAGAGAAACCCTGTCTCAAAAAACAAAACAAAACAAAACAAAACAAAAACAAAAAAGCAAAAAACAAAAAACAAAACTTAATACAATAAAGTTCAAAAAATGTCAAATTGTCAAAGTAAATTATCAATTATAAACAATATGAAAATCCTAGACTTCACTGATGTAAGGCTTGTTCTGTACTTAGTTTAAATACTGTGAAAAGAACAGACCCCTAACAATGTTATTTACACTACTAAGGCTTCCTATTCTCAGCTGCCAGGGTCATACAGATGATGAATAAGGAATTATCAATTCCTTATTTTAAAATACACAACCTGTAACACAGAGAATGTATGATATACACACAGGGTAGAAACTACCTGAGCAGTGATTCTGCAGTGGAGCCATTCTGATTGTACATGGGAACTGTTTTATACCCCAAAGCAGGTCTTTGTCACTGGTCTGGCTGCTGGGTATGGGGAGTAGGTGCACACAATACTGCAGCCACAATAAAGACAGGTGAAGACCAATGTTCACTCAGGGAACAAGCTGAGGCTCCATGTGCACTGTCCTTATTCCTTGACAGGCACTACCATTCATGTTTTCCTCCAAGGGTTTTATGTGTCAGCCTGGCAGGGCTGCCTCTGGTTAAACGTTCTCACATAAACTTGGATAAGGACCAACTTTCATGAGCAAAGAAAAGGCCTATGACAGAGAGGATGGAAATCTCTCTCACAAGTAGAGCCTCTGTGAACCTTACTTATCTTGTTGCTGTGACCAAACACCTGCCTTGGAGCCGATGAGGAAGGAATATTCTGGCTCAGTCTTGAGATACAGGCCATCATGGTAGAGGGATAACAGGACAGACTGAGCTTGCCTCCTGATTTATTCAATGGGACCCATCTATGGCACATCATTACCTTATGTGTCCTCTCCACAGTTAAGCATCTCTGGGAAATACCCCCAGCAGACAACCTCTTGCTTCTATCTCCTACCTGATTCCAAATCTAGTCACTGGATAATAAAGAATAGCCACCAGAGCACAGGAAGCCATGGCCAGAGAGTGGAGATGACAATTCTGTCACTAAAGCTATGGCCATGTGAATGGCTGTCTCACAACTCGACCTACTCAGACTGAAGCAGAAAAGTAACCCAAATGGCTAAGTAAAACTCTTCTGAAGTTTATTTACTTACACACTTGACATTGACATTCTTTTAGGCCTGTTTTTAAAGCTCAAGTGAAGCAAGTATGTGAGGACACAGTAGAGGCAGGCCTCTTTTCTCTCCATCTGCTCAGACCTCGGTCTGTGATGCTCCTTAACCCTCAGCTTTGGCCTGGCAGTAGTGGCACATGCCTGAAATCCCAGCACTCAGGAGGCAGAGGTAGGCAGATCTCTGAATTCAAAGCCAGTCTAGTCTATAGAGGAAGTTTCTGGATAGCCAGGGTCTTGGAAAAAAACAAAACAAAACAAAAAAATTCCAGTTTCCCTTCAGGCCATGTTTCAGCAATAGTAGGAGCCATAGACACTGCTGTTCTGTGACCCTGGACAGAAGATCTGGACTGTTACTACCTATGCATCTGTTTTAGTTAGGGTTTCTATTCTTCTGAAGAGAAACCACAACCATGACAATTCTTACAAAGGAAAACATTTAATTGGGTGGCTTACAGTTTCAAAGGTTTAGTCCATTATTGTCATGGTGGGAGATGGCAGTATTCAAGCAGACATGGTGCTAGAGAAGGAGCTGAGAGTTCTGTATCTTGATCCACAGGCAAAAAGAGATGAACTGTGACACTGACTGTAGCTTGATCTTAGGAAAATTCAAAGCCCACCCTCACAGTGACACATTTCTTTTCCTCTAACAAAGCCACACATACTGCCACTCTCTATGAGCTTGTATGGGCCAATTACATTCAAATACCACACCATGTCAAATGGGACCACTTCTACAAATGGGACCACTTCTATATACAAACGTCTATAGATTTTCCAGTCAGTCATTCATTCAGAAAGCTTAATTAAGTCAGCCTTTATTGAACACTTTTGGGAAACAAGTACATACATGCATGCATACACATAAACACACAGACTATGTTGTTTGTCCTTCACTAAATTGTTTACCTTCCATACATACACTAAATTGTCTACCCCACTTCACAAAGTTGGCTGTACCCAACTCTATGTAGTCTTCCCTCAACAGTCAAGCATTCTTTATATCCTCATTGAAGAAAACAACCAAACAGAACATTTATTTTGGAATATGGATCTAAGTGTAATGAAGAAATAATACTTCAAAACACATTCCTATCAAGACTGTGTTCACAAGACATAAGAAATGTATTTTCAATTTCTGAAAGTTTCCTGTGAACACAGGCTGACCTTATACCAAGGCTCACTTCAATATCTGGAAATTTAGCTAAAAATAATCAGGTTAATGCCAAAAAAATACAATCAGCAAGCATGGGTGAAAACAATGGCATCTTGCTGTAAATACAAAAGTGAAAATGAGGAAATGGCTCTGGGTAGCTGAAGACATAGACTGGCTAAGTGAGATGTGATACATTGGTCCAATTCTATTTATTTATTTATTTTGTTGTTATCAGGACAGAGTTTCTCTGCATGGCTCAGCCACAACATGACATTTGTCAATTGTGTGTGTATCTGTATCAGAACTAGTGAGAACCAGTTGTACAGTTTTACAGTGTTTGGCTCACAGGAAGTGTCAGTAATTTCAGATTTTTCTTCTGGTGAAAATATTGTCTTGACACAGTTTCTAAGAATGTTAAGAAGGTCTTACCTGGGCTGGAGTGTTTGCAGTCACAGGAGGTGGCGAGACACTGACTTTTGGCTCACTGGGGGATGCTGCTGAGCCCTGAGACTCCTGGCTTGCTGGCTGGTCTGGAGACAAAGCATCACTGCTATCTTCATCAAATGAGAACTCCCCATGAGTGTGGGGATAGTCCTCCTTCACTACACCTGCAGGGAGAACCACAGTTAATTCAGGCTGACTGAGAAAGAGGAGTTTTAGGAGATGGCTTAAAGCTGGGCTCTTCCCAGAGAAAGCCACATTACTACAATGTGTCTCTTCCAGCAGGAGCCACACTGCTGTCTGTCATGTACTCCTTAGGTTTTGACGTTTTTCTAGTCACATCAAGCCTTTGGGTCCAGCTATCAGCTATAGAAAAGGCAGGAGACAGGGGTGCTTTGTTGTTCTTTTGTTCCTGTGGTGCAGGGGATGGAGCTCAGGACTCTGTATAAGCTGACCAGGAGGCTAGAGAATGAGTACTTCTCTGTAGACTGGCCCAGAGGGGAGGGTTCTCAATGACACAGGAGAATACTACAGAGCAGGGCGATCTGAGATGTACAGCACAAGCTTGCTCTTTAAAATGTAAGCAGCAGAGCGCATCTGCTCAACAGAGTCATTTTTAAGAGATGCCTGCACCTTGTTCTTTGAACATGATGTGGAACCCAAATGTTAGCATGGGGAAGGAGAGGAGAAAGTGAGAGTGCTATGGGGGATCTGCATGTCAGTTTCCATCTCACAGAACAGCACATTTATGCTCACATCTTACCTTGGGGGCTATCTTCCCAAATGATTGGAATCAGTGTTGACTCTATGTTTTAGAATCTTGTGACTACAAACTGCCTAAGCTTTAAACTTACACTAACTCAGTGTGAAGTCCTCAGGACTGAGACCTATATGAGCTAGTTCTTCAGTTAGTATAAAAACAAAAACCAAAGCCCCCAAAACAAAACTCAAACAAAAACAAAACTGTGCTGAGTAAATATCATTCTTCATTTGTTTTCCTCCGAAAACTATGCCAAAAACAAAAACCACAACAGTGACACAGGAAGGTCTTGGTGTGTGAGAATGTGCTGTGCACGTGCAGGCCTGGGTTCAAGGATAAGATGAGCAATACAAGCCCAGTGTGAGAGAACAGGGGAAGCAGAGAGATGCTACTCCTCTTCAAGAATACAATGAACCCATGGGCCATCCCGCTTGCCTGTGAAGCTTATTATCTTTCTAGATAGACATAATGAAGAGCATAAGCAGTCGAAATGGAATGGTACAATACACTAATTTATCTTAGAAAATGTGATAATGACATCAGAATTCATTAACATAAAATGGAAATCCATGCTAACTGGAAGCAGAGGCCAGTTTCTAATCAGTAACAATTGCAATAAGACAGATGTTTATCAGCTTATACTTAACTAAGGAAATGATGCTGATTGATGCTAACATTTTAATAAAATCACTTTATTTAAAACTCCTGTGGAAGACAAAAACTGTTACTCTTGCCTATAATTGCTTCCTTGACACTCAAGTCTACAGGAAGGATGTTCTTTTCCACCAGCTCCATGGGACCAGGCCTTTGTGCAATCTTCTCATTCAGGTCGTCTGCCAGTCGAGCTCTCTTCAGCTTCATCTGTGTGGCCTGCAGAGATGGCTCTGCAAATGTTTCTGGAAGACGAAGCACAACTTTAATCATGGCATCTATCAGGGCAAATAACTGAACTAAACTACTTGAAGAAAGTTAAACTCTGGAAGGAGAAAGTGACTGCTGAGAAAGTGTGGCAGATTTTTGTTTTTCTGAGAGTGGGGCAGCTACCTTTCTATGCAATATGGAGGCCCCAGGGTTGAATGGTCATGAACTGAAGCTGGAAATGGAAACTGCCACCATTTGCTTACAGGAGATCACATTTGTTTAGACCACATTTACCAGGTACCAGAGAGAAACAGCATGAAGACATGTGTGGCCCAGAGCTCTAGAAATTGATGGTTCTCATTTGGCTTCACTAGAGAGGCAGTTCCTTGAAAAGGATCCAGTAAATCTTAGAAGTTTCTGTCCTTTCTTCATTGGGAAGAGCTATGATTAATATTCTTGGGTTGACTGTATCTTGGGTCAGTTACCATAATTAAGAATTTGAGCTTATTTTGGGACAAAAACCTCATTTTGTACAGAGATTGCGGTGCACAGAACCAACAGCTCATACCCTTAAAAAGACATAGTGGCTATAACAGACATGAAGCCACTGTAGCTCTCCCAATGTGTCTGCTTTGTCCTGTCAGTTGTCACTTGGGATAAGTCACTGACATCTCCTCCTCTTGTCTTGAGCCATGTTTTGTTGATTTAAAAATAAGTGATATACTATCATCCCAATTCTGAGTTGACTCTGAGCTCTATGAGATGAAGCACCCAGAACTGTACCAGACAGCTAATCACATTGACAATTTTCAATGCTTCTGTGAATCTCAAAGTAGGTGAGATTTTCAGTCTTTCTCCCTTCTCCCATTAACACTACTGAAGTGACAGCAACAATACACCTGCAAGGAAAATCTTCCCAAAGCAATAAGCTCAGCCTGGTATGTTTGTGTGCTTCTGTCTGTCTTGCTTCCTCCTTAACTCCATGAAGCTGAAGCTCAATTTTTGCTGTTGAATATTGGAAGACAATTTACACTCTAACCTGCTAAATACCCAATTCAATTAAATTGTCAAATTAGTCAAAATATGGTTTTAAGGCAATTAAAAAATTAAAGATGATATATTCCTTCTCATTCCTCAGATTTGAAGTTGAGAATGCATGTTTAATATATACTCTTATATTAAAAAATAAGTATGAATGTTTAGCTTGCATGTGTATATGTGTACCATGTGTGTGCTTGGTGTCCATGGAGGCTAGAAGAAGGCAACAGACCCCTTAGAGCTGGAGTTACAGGAGGTGTGAGCTGCTTGACATGGGTGTTCCGACTAAGCAGTGTGTTCTACAAGAGCAAGACTACATGCTCTTGACTGCTGAGCTATTTCTCTATTCTCTTAGCTTTTCTGCCTTTTATCCTTTCTGCCTTTTATAAAAGAAAAAAATTGAGTGTATTTATTTCTTTTTATTTTAATTCTATTAACAACATCTTCTAGAGCCAGAAGCAAATATAGACAGCATTATATAAACACAGATGCACACATGTTCTTTATTTTGTTATTTAGTGGAGGTCTTGCTGAAGTCAATGGTTCCTGAGATATGCACTGCTCTATCCTAACCCTGAATCTCTGGTAATGTTTTCAGTTCAGGGAACTTCTGAGAACACAACCCATGGTGGAGAAAGGCATACATCTCCCATCTCCCACATGGGACCAAGAAAGACACATACAGGAGAACACACTCTTCAGGTCAGCCAAAGCCAGTATCTTCAAAGCACATTCTAACACAGTTATTAGCCCGCGTTCTTTCTCAGTCAGAGCTGTCTAGTTGTTCTCTGTCTGTCTCTGCCCCTGAAGCACATGACGCAGGAAGGTAGGTAGCTTTATGTTGTTCATTATTGGGCCCTTGGTAGCTAGCATCGGGCCAGTGGATGCACGGTCTCCTGAATAACTGCATCTCTGGCTACCAGGGTGCTATCCTGCATGTAAAGATCATCCTAACCCTGTCACTGGGCTCAGAGAGAAAAGGCTCTTTCTGCCCTACCACTGTCTCTAAATGTCTGTGGTGTTTCCAGACTCAATTTCAGAATGACATTGTTTTGCCTCCAAGGGATGACACTACATCATTCAGAGGTAATCAGTGATGGTCAGGTCAAAACCATTGTAAGTGACAAAGAGGAGTAGTGACATATGTGGGAATTATTTCAGATAAGTATCAATGAGATTCAAGCAGTCAAAAATCTGGAGCTAGATGTGTAATTATTGTGTATACTGATTTAATGACACATGTCTCTCTCATGATAGAGAAGTTCTATGGACCAAAAATGTCCTTCCAGGAAAGTACAAGTGAAACTTGGGAACCAGCTGGTAGAAAAGCCAGCTCATCAAGTGATTGCTCCAGGATGTCAAGTTTTGAGTCTTCATGGTGCTATCCAATTTGGAGGATGTCAGCCCATGGGGTGTAAAGGTATTAAAATAGTAACAAACAGAAATGGCAGACATCTCACTTTTCTACTTAAAGAAATGCAGCCAAGCCAGCAGCAATAAACCCCTTACCTTCTAAAATGTGCATCCTGACCAACTCAGAGCGATCAGGGCGACTCCGGATCTTGTGCTTCAGGAAGTTTTCAGTCTTTAAAGAAAAAAAAAGTATTGTTTATGATTTATTGTCATATTAGATTTTCTCCAAAAATCAATTATATGCCATTTTTGTTGTATCTTTGAGAGAGTAACTAGACATCAATGCCTAGGGGATCTATCACCTAGCACATGGCCTCAGCAGTGTAGCCTTCAGTACTATCCAGGGGTTGATATGCATTAGTGCAAAATAATTACTTTATAGAGTTTTATGGTGAAATTGAGAATAGCTCAATTTTTTTAAGGTGAGCTTTGAATAAACATAAGATTTTATTTAAAATAAATACTGTAGAAAAGGAGAAATTTATTGATAAAATTCTTAAAAATAATAATATATTTTATTTGATTTCATAATCTTCACAGAGGCTCTAAAACTGCACTCACCACTCAAGCAATGGGTCTTTATTGCATTCTTGGAAAAGTGTAAAGGAATTTTTATAATATTCTTATTTTAATCCCACCCCCAGGCAAAACAGAAAGTATGTGCTTAATGGCACTGAGTACCCATGTGACATGTGGCCACAAAAGAACCATTTTCAAGAACACATTTGAGCCAGGTGGTGGTAGCTCATGGCTTTAATCCCAGAACTTGGAACTCTGTGAGTTCTAGACTACCCTGGTCTATATAGAGTGGGTTCCAGAATAGCTAGGACTGTTACACAGAGAAACCTTGTCTTGAAATACCAAAATAAAAAAAAACAAACAACAATAATAACAACAATAACAACAACAACAAAAGAAGGAGGAGGAGGAGGAAAGGAAGAAAGAAAAGAACATAGTTGAACATAGCATGTTCTGTATTTAGCTGTATTCTTAATCCTTAGGCATATGAACAGTGATAGACTCACAGGAAAATTGGCCAAGGACCTAACGACCAGAAGCACTTAAATTCCTTGCCCCTCTGCAGAGCTAACAAACAGCAGAGGCTATTGCTCAGTCGATCTGTTACATTCTGGTCTTGCCCTAGCCTGGTTTCTTATAAAACCCAGGACAGGACTACCAGCCCAGGTTTGATGGGCTGGGGCCCCTAATTCAGTCATCAGTCAAGTAAATGCCCTATAGGCTTGCAATCTGGTGGGGGCATTTTCTCAATTGATGCCTCTTCTCAGATGATTCTAGCTCGTGTCAAGTTAATAAGAAGCTAGTTAGCATAGCCCTGAAAACAAAGGAACTAGTTACTTTTATTTTATTTCTTATTTTATGGGTGTGTGTGTGTGTGTGTGTGTGTGTGTGTGTGAGTAATGCATACACATGTGTATATGTGTGAGAATGTCCATGTAGAGTGGGAGTGATAATGCAAAAAGAATGTGTGTGGGGGGTAATGCATGTACATGTGTACATGTGTGAGCATGTGCATATAGGATGTGGGGTTAATGTATGTGCATATGTACATATAAAATGTGGGGTAATGTATTGCATGTGTACATGTGTGAGCATGTGCACGAAAAGAACAAAGGCTGCTATTAGGTATCTTTTTTCAATTTCTCCTCAGTTACTGTGATAGTTTGAAAGAAAATAGCCCTTAAAGGGAGTAGCACTTTCAGGTGTGGCTTTGTTGGAGTACGTATGGCCTTAGAGGGTGAGGGTGGGTTTTGAGGTCTTCTTTGCTCAAAGTATTCCCAGTGACAGTCTACTTCCTGTTGCCTATATAGATCAAGCAGCTACTTTTCCAGCACCATGTCTTCCTGCATGCCACCACGCTCCACCATGATAATGGACTTCTGAACTGTAAGCCAGCCCCAATAAAACATTTTCCTTTGTAAAAGTTGTCATATTCATGGTGTCTCTTCACAACAATAGAAACCCTAACCAAGACAATTACTGTCTCATTTTGCTTTTTATTTTACGGGTATGTGTGGGGCAATACATACACATGTGTACATGTGTGAGCATATACATGTAGAATGTGTGGTGTGTGTGCATGTAGAGTAATGCACATACATGTGCACATATGTGTGCATGTGCATACAGAGGACAGAGGCTGATGTCGGGGAGCTCACCCAGCTGGTTAGTCCAGCTGATCAGTGAGACTCAGCCTCTTTGGGGCTGGGGTTACTATAAGTGTGAGTAAGTGACCCAGACTTGGTCTATATAGGGTTAGGGGTTAAACTCAGCCCTGTGGCAAACACTCTACTGACTGAACGTCTCTTCTGGCAGAGCTACTGATTTTAAAAGAACAAAATTGAATTGTCATTCACTTTCTATAAGCCTCTAAAGATCAAGCTACCCCAGAATCCATGCTATCTACACAACATATCTTGAAGATAATGTAAAATGTTCTGCATCAATATATTTAGGAGTACTGGCACTTGGGATACAGCAGAGAAATAAAGTTTTTATTTTTTTAATTACTTACTCTGGCTCGTTCCAGGCTTTTTATCTGCTCATGGAATGCTGCTGGACTCTTCAAAGCTGTTAGGAAAGAAACAATGGTTTCTATAGCATAAAACAGGAGCTTACATCTTAGCTTGCCACTCTGCTAACCCCAACAGTATGCATCTGTGCTAATATATTTACAGTTCCTTTATGAACCCTCCCCCCAAATAAAAAGACTTCAATGTTGTCCAACTGAAATTATGTACATCACTAATAAAACAAGTGGACATTTCAAACAGAGCTGATGTGTAATGACTATGCAATTGCCAGGCCAGACCATTCCAAGGCCCAGGGACTTCCACAGGTCTTTGTCTAGGTACCCATATATGCTGCTAGACAAAGTCCATTTAGCCCTGCAACTTGAACTTGAAGACACACAGCACTTGTTTATGCAGAACGCACAACCAGCTTAGCTCTGTGGTAAAGCACAGTTAAGGCTGCTTGGTCTCCCTAATAAACCTGCTATATACAATGAGGACCAGTTCCCCACATAAGCTGTGACCTAGCAGCAGTACCTTAAACATCTTTATCTGATGCTGCTGATTAACTGGCTGGGGAAGGGTTATGGCAGCAGAGATGCCCAACAGATTATCAAAGTGGCTTCTTCAGGCTACCCCAGCTGGATTTAAGGTACTTAGATGACTGACAATAAGTAGTTTATAATAAAGATTCACTGATTGAAAAAAAATCTGCTAAAAAACAAACTAACAACAAGCAAAAAGCATTCCTCATCTTCATTAAAGGATAAATGATTTTTGGGCTAGCAATGAGTTACAAGACACATGTTCTATAATTTCTAATGTTTTAAAGTAGAATAAATTAACTCTTAGAAAGTCCAAATAAGCAATCCTATTGAAAGCAACCATTCCCCCCGCCCCCTAAAACTCCCAAAGTTGATAGTTAAAGGTAAAGAAAACAGTTTAGATACACATCCTAAAATCAATTCTTATAAATCTCTTGAAGGAAACAAGTGTACTCAGGCCAGAAAGCCCAAACTAACTGTAGACAGCACTCTGAGATAGATGCATGTAACTAGGTAGACCATAGCCCAGCACCACTGAGAATGACCTTGAGTTAAATTCAGGTAGAAGAAGGTCATGAGTTAGTGGCATCACATTATTCTTACAGGTCTCAAATGTACCATCAGAGTTACCAGTTCAACCACTTTAAGGTTCAAACAGACATTAAAGCTTCATATTGGGGCTGGAGAGATGGGTCAGAGGTTAAGAGTATTGGATGCTCTTCCAGAGGTCCTGAGTTCAATTCCCAGCAACCACACGGTGGCTCACAACCATCTATAATGGGATCTGATGCCCTATTCTGTCATGCCACAGTAGAGTATGTAGAGTAGATGCAAGTAGAGCACTCATATACATAAAACACATAAATAAATCTTTTAAAAAAGAACTTCACAGTACCATAAAGGCATTCTTTATTAGTGTAAAATTCAAGCCCATTTTAAAACTATATCTTTTTTTTTTTAAAGAAGTACTAAGGGTTCTTTTTAGCTGGGCCATGCTGACACCTGGCTCTGTTGATAAGCCCTCATGGAAACTGCAATGACTGGATGGAATGGAAGGAGGTAAGCATCCCTCAGGAATGCCCATCGGTCCCCACCCAGCAGAGGCAACAGTGAGCTGGGCTTACGTGGCATGATGCCCTGGTCCACGAGTTGTTCTCTTGTCCTCCTTTGTTGCAGCCTCAGTTGGAGCACTGTGGAAAGTATAGAGTTTGTTTATCAGCAGCTGTAACCCCATTTCCCAAAACTCCAAAGAGGACATTGTTACCCTTTATTAAACACTCACTGCATTATCCAACAAGACAGAAGTCAGTTGGGAAGCTGAGTGTGGGCCATGTCTGTAAACCCAGCTCTCAAGGGGATGAGGCAAAGGGGCCACTGAAGGTCTGAGGCCAGACAGGTTGCTTAGTAAGTTTCAGGACATCCAAAACTACATGTAGGGTAAGGTCTTAAGGAGTGAGGAGAGAAGACATTACTTGGTACACTCTACTTGATGATTTCTGAATTTACTCGGCATTTTTTTGTTTAGTTAATTCAAATTTATGATGAATGCTAGGCATTTCCTACTTAAATACTTCACAAAGTACTGAAGCAAAACTGATAGCTTATACATTATAACTTGTTCAAAGGAAATCTCATTTGGAGCAATAATATGAGATTCCTTGACATTTTTCTCTTAATGGTAAAGAAATTCAACAAAATCATTGAAGAAAACTTTCCCAATGTGAAGAAGGACATGCTTATGAAAGTACAAGAAGCGAATGAAAAAGACCAAATAACATATAAAGGCAGACCTATCAGAATTAACAGCTGATTCTCCATGGAAACTCTGAAAGCCAGAAGGTCCTGGATAGATGCTCAACCAACACTAAGTGACCATGGATGCCAGCCCAGACTACTATACCCAGCAAAACTCTCAATCACTATATATGGAGAAAACAAAATATTCCATGATAAAACCAGATTTATACAATATATAGCCACAGAGTTCTGGAAGGAAAACTCCAACCCGAGGAAGTTAACTACACTCACAAAAACATAGGCAATAGATAACCCCACTTTACCAGAAGCCAAAAGAAAAGCAGGGTAAATCTACTCATAATACCACCACCACCACCAAATCCAAAACAAACAAGAATTAACAATCAATGGTCCTTAATTTCCCTCAATATTAATGGTCTTAACCTGCCTGTAAAAAGACACAGGCTAACAGGATGGATATGAAGACAGAATCCATCCTTCTGCTGCATACAAGAAACACTTCAAAAGCATACACTACCTCAGAGTAAAGGGTTGGGAAAAGATCTTCCAATCAAATGGACCCAAGAAACAAGCTGATATAGCTATCCTAAAATCTAACAAATTAAATTTCAAACCACAATAAATCAAAGGAGATAAAGAAGGTCATTTCTTATTCATCACAGGAGAAACCCATCAAGATGAAGTCTCAATTCTGAATATCTATGTCCCCAATACAAAGGTACCCACATTTGTAAAAGAAACATTACTAAAACTCAAATCTCACACAAAACCTCACACACTCATAGTGGGAGTCTTCAACACACCACTCTCACCGTTAGACAGGACCAACAGACAGAAACTTAACAAAGAAACAAAAGAACTAACAGAAGTTATGTCCCAATTGGGTTTAACAGACATTTATAGAATATTCCATCCAATCACAAAAGAATATGCCGCCTTCTCAGCTCCACATGGAACTTTCTCTAAAATTGACCACATATCCGCAATATAGCAAACCTCTACAGGTACAAAAAACTGGAATAACCCCCTTATCTTATCAAACCACAAACTTTTAAAATTAGAATTCAACAACAACACAAATTGCAGAAAGCCTACAAACTCATGGAAATTGAACAATGCACAATTGCATCATTTCTGGGTAAAGGAAGGCATAAAGAAAGAAATTAAAGAATTTCGAGAATTCAATGAAAATGAGGACACAACATACCCAAATTTATGGGACACTTTGAAAACAGTGCTAAGAGGCAAGTTCATAGCACTAAGTGCCCATATGAAAAAACTGGAGAATAGTCACACTAGAGAATTAACTGAAAGTTCTAAATCAAAAAGAAGCAAACTCACCCCAGAAGAGTAGATGCCAGAAAATAATCAAATTGAGGGCTGAAATCAATAAAGTAGAAACAAAGAGAACAATACAAAGAATCAATGTAACAAAGAGTTGGTTCTTCGTGAAAAATCAACAAGATGGACAAACCTTTATCTAACCTAACCAAAAGACAGAGAGAGAGAGAGAGAGAGAGAGAGAGAGAGAGAGAGAGAGAGAGAGAGAGAGAGAGAATGCAAATTAATAAAATCAGAAATGAAAAGGAGGACATAACAACTGACACTGAGGAAATCCAGTGAATCATCAGGTCATACTTTGAAAACCTGTACTCCACAAAATTTGAAAATTTAAAATAAATGGACAATTTTCTAGGTAGCTATCACTTACCAGAATTAAATCAAGAACAGATAAGCAATTTAAATAGACCTATAACCACTAATGAAATAGAAAAAATCATCAAAAGCCTTCCACCCCCCCCCCAAAAAAGCCTAGGAACAGATTGTTTCAGTGCAGAATTCTACCAGAAATTCAAAGATTCAAAGAACAGCTAATACCAATATTTCTCAAATTGTTCCACACAATGGAAGCAGAAAGGTCAATGCCAAATTCTTTTTATGAGGTTACAATTACCTTGGTACCCAAGCCACACAAAAACACAACTAAGAAAGAGAACTAAAGACCAATATCTCTCATAAACATAGATGCAAAAATAGTAAAATACTGGCAAATCAAATCTAAGAACACATCAGAGAAATCATTCACCATGACCAAGTAGGCTTCATCCCTGGGATGCAGGGATGGTTCAACATATGAAAATCCAACAATGTAATCTACCACATAACCAAACTGAAAAAGAAAAACCACATGATGCTCTCACTAGATGCTGAAAAAGCCTTTGACAAAATCTAACACTCCTTCATGATAAAGGTCTTGGAGAGATCAGGAATAACAGGAACAAACCTAAACATAATAAAAGCAATATACAGCAAACCAACAGACATCAAACTAAACATCAAACTAAATAGAGACAAACTCAATGAGATTCCTCTAAAATCAGGAACAAGCCAAAGTTGTCTACCCTCTCTGTATCTCTTCAATATTGTGCTTGAAGTTCCAGCTAGAACAATAAGACAACAAAAGGAAATCAGAGAGAATACAAATTGGAAAGGAAGAAGTCAAACTTTCACTATTTGTACATGATATGATAGTTTACATAAGTGACCAGAAAAACTCTACCAAGGAATTCCTACAGCTGATAAACACCTACAGCAAAGTAGCAGGATATAAGATTAACTAAAAAAAAAAAAAAAAAAAAATCAGTAGCCCTATTTTATACAGACTAATAGCTGGGAAACCAGCATAGGGCCAACACAGACCCCCTGAACATGGGTCTTAGTTATGAGGTCTGGGCAGTCTATGGGACCTCTGACAGTGGAACCAGGATGTATCCCTGGTGCACAAAAGGACTTCAGGAGCACATTCCTCATGGTGGGATACTCCCTTTTCCTAGAAACACAAGGGGCCCTACCCCAAATTACTTGACAGATTTTGATGATCCATCTGGAAGGCCTCACCTTCCCTGAAAAATGGATGGGGGATGGGATGGGGGTGTGGGTCAGGGTCAGAGGGCATAGGAGGATGGGAAGGAGAGGGAACTGGGATCAATATGTAAAATAAGAAAAAAAGAAAAGAATGGATTGTTTGGAAGGACTTCACCAGGAAAGGATTTAAAAGAAATAGCTTTATTGATGCCTGAATGCATATAAATTAGGCCAGAGAGAAATTTCTAAGTTATGAATTTAATGGTCTTTGCATAATGCACATTGAGTCCTACTCTCCAAGTCCTGAGAAAGCTATAATCAGCTGGTATCACTGTTTAATACAGTGAGAATTGGTAGAATCAAGGCCCACATTAGGGAATGTGGACATCTAACTTGCCAAATAAAAATTAATTTATCCCCCTTGATATTTCAAGGAGATTCTTTTTATAGCATCACTAGATATTCAATTTAGACAACAAGTCTATTTTAAAAAGAACATAGCAAGTATAAAACAGAAACCTTTTTCCTAGTTATATTTGGTTGTTTTGCTTTTATTTTCAAATTATGGTTAGGATGACTAAGGGTCTGCATAAAAGTTACCAACATGCTAAAACAAAATATGCATGTTTCTTCGTGGTGAGGAGAGGAGCCAGCTAAACAAAGGCTTAAAATGCAGCATACTGGTGTCTTCCATTTGCAGGAGATCCTATGTGCCGCAGAGACCAGTCCTGATAGTGTTGACTGCAGAGCAGAGTCCTGCCTCAGGTTGCACAAAGATCCCTGAACTGCTCTATGTTTCTCATGAACACTTTCTTGTGAGTACTGAACACAGAAATCTGATGGGGTTGTTTTGGGGCTATAGAGTTTCACTGATACTGCATTTAGAGCTGAAACAGTTGATATAAAACTGTCACAGGGAGTAAAGCCAAGTAAAAACACTTTAAACAGCATGCACACTTCAGATACTAGCATTTTTCAGGAATGTAGAGGCTAACCCTGTGTAGTACTTAAGGTGTCCAAAGCAGAGAGAATCCCAAAGAAAGAATGAGAGGACAAAATATCAAGGTGTTACTCCAGCTCAGATGATCCATGTCAGGGAGAAGCCCCAGCAGTAAACAGATGCCCTTCCCTTCTCCCCAAGGATCATCAATGAAAGGTCACAGAAACAACGTTCCCATAAAAAACAAACCCCAAATACAGTATGTAGTTATGAGACATGCTGTGAACACTACACTTTCTGTATATTTACATCAGGACATACATCAGCATTACTCCATAAGCAAGCCAAGAGGTACAGCAAGTTTGTGCTTCCCAGAGCCTCTTCTGATTGGACACTGGGTGCTTCAGGGACCCACCAGCACAGGAAGGAAGCCTCAGGTCACTCAAGACTGAAATCACTAAAGCTAACATGCACAGTGTATCTGCTGTTGTGAGGCTAGGACACAGAACAGATGCATGCCATCTGATGCATTCCCTTGGGCCAACACTCCTGCTGCAAATCCAGAGGCTTTCACAGTATCTCTGTTCTCCACTCTGAGGATAGCAACTGGTGTCCAACAAATCTAAT